GCAGAGTTTGATGATTTCTTTGTTGAGGTAGAATTATTAGATTTACCCCTAAGAGGTAGATGATTCCCTTGGTCAACTCTTGAAGGTTCATCCGTGAGTCGAATAGATAAATTTTTAGTTTCATAAATTTGGCTTTCTCAATGGCGTAAGATCTCATACTGGTGTTTGTAGAAGGAACTATTAGATCATTGTCCGATATTGATATACGAGAGGTTTCTAAATTGGGGCCTGAAAAGTTTTGCATGTTCAATTGTAGGAGATATCTAGAAGGGTATCATAAGTTTATAGAAGAAAATGGAGATCCTTTGAGTTTCGAGAGTGAGGTGGGTACATAATAAAAGAGAAACTGAAGTTAATCAAAAGTCATCTCAGAGAGTGGAGATTCATGTGGTAAATTTGGACAACAAAATTTAGGAGGCAAAGAAGAAACTAAACGATTTGAAGTTAAAAAGTGTAAATATATGGTTAGATCCTGAGGGATCATAGTTAAAAGAGGTACGTCAATTCATCTTTCCTCTTTATCAAGAATGAAATCTAGTATTATGTGGAAAAATGCTCGACTAAAATGGTTGAAAAAGGGGGATGATAACTCAAGATTTTTCATAGGTGTGTAATGAATAGAAGGAAGACTATTGAGATAAAGCAAGAATTCTTTAATAATTTCTCAAGATCCTTCAACTCAAGTTTTCGGAATAGACTAGTTCTAAATGATTTAGAGTTTTAGAAGATTGAATTGGAGTACAACAATGTGCTAATAGGTAAATTTTCAGAGGAGGAAATCAGAAAGGCAGTTTGGGAATATGTATCCTTTGGGCTTATCAAAGAGCTCTATGAGTGTTGTACCCTAAAATTTGTCCTCATTCTTTCTTACCCTAATTAGCTTTTGCTTCTCATTCATATGCAGCTCCATTAGATCATGACACCTTAACAATTCATTTACATGGGCTCTTAAGACACAATATTAAGGCTATTTTTGGTGGTATAAAGTTTTGTACCCAAAGTGTGCAAGCAAAAGAAAAGAAACCAGTTTCTCAATCCTTCTGGTTTAGGCCAGGATGCTGGTTCAGGTTCAGGCCAGAATGTTGGTTCAGGTTCAAAGACAAATCAACGGCATTAGAAACCTCTAGCATTTATTTTGCTCAGAGATCGTATGAGAATTCAGGCTAGTAAAAGGTTATCCAGGCTTCGAGATAGGTCACTCATTGTATTTCAGGTATTATTCAAGGGCATAATCAAAAGCTAAGGTTCACATGCAAAGCGTGCTTAGGACAGGTTACAACAGGACAAATTTCACATTTTTGCACTGATGTAACCGGTTACCCAGATTCTGGTAACCAATTACCGCCCCTCTAGAAGGCACCAATTTTTGAAATTTTGAATATGGTAACCGGTTACCCTATTCTTTGTAACCGATTACACCTATTTTTGTTGTTGCCAAATTCAGTGTGTTTCAAGGCCAACAACATCTATCGCTCTCACTCATTTTCAAGTTTCACTCATGTGCTCTGGGAATATTCTAGAACCATGTTACATTACAGCTAATATCAGTCCACATTTGTTCCCCCACTTCATATCTAATTAAATTCTACCATACACCCTCATTTTAAACCAAGTGATCTTGTGATTTGCAACCGAGTCAACTCATAAGTAACCGAGTTATCGATTCAACTCACTGAGTTGAGTCTAACTTATTCCATACCTAGCTCTAAACCTCAAGCCAAACCAATTTCCAAGCCATATTTTGCTCCATACCTATTTTCTATTTAAACGAACCTCTCTCATTCTTGCAAAAAGGGGAGAACCATTATTCACCAAATTTCAGAATTTCTACACATCACACTCTCTATTCTCTCTCACTTTGTGCAGAAACTTTCACTCACTCTTTCCATTTTCATCATCTTCCCTAACCTCACCAAAGCTCCACCATTAAAGTTAGCAAAGCTTTTCATTGAAGTTTGTTGATCTTTGAGCTTAAGCTTCATTGCATCACTTCCTCTACATCAAATTTTGCAGCAACAGTAGGTTCTATTTCAGATCTAAGCTTGGAAGTTGATTCTTAAAGTGATTTTTGAAGCAAATCCGGAGTTGATCGGTTCATTGCATTGTTCTTCAATTTTATTGTGAGAAGCTGCTTAGATCCCTGGTTTTCTTAATTACATTCATCAGTTTCTATTTTGCAACAATTACCAAGGAAAATCTCAGCTTTGTAGGTTAGTAATCTTTGGATCTAACACTATTTTGGCTTATTTTGCATTTTCACAATGTAGTCTCTTGTGATTTGTGTGATTCATGTGTTGCTTGATTCATTGATTTACATGATCGAATGTATTGGTGATTTTTTGCTCACAATCATTAGTAATTTTTGTGTACAATTGCATGCCATGACATCTGGTGTTTAGATCAAATAAGTGATTCAGAAAAGTGCTTTTCAAAATTATGTTTATGCTGTCTTTGCAGGTGTAACCGGTTACTGCATATGGTGTAACCAATTACACCCATTTCCCTATGCCCAGGAGGTTTTTTTTTACATGGTGTAACCGGTTACACCATTTCAGGTAACTGGTTACACCTGTAGCAGTGTGTAATTTTGGCTTATTTTCGGGACTGTTTTGATTCCGTTCCACTTCTAGACTTCTTTGCTTGACATGATTGATATTTGTGGACATTTCTTGAGTTGTTTATCATCAATTTGCAATGCTTTGGGAATTAATGATTGGTTTATGTTTGTTTAAACATTGTGGATTGTTAATCACATGCTCACATTGCTTGATCTTGGATTGTTGAACCATACATGTTCGTATGCCTGTTAATTGCTAAGTGTTTGAGTTCTTGAGACATGTTCATTGCTTAATTGTTGGTGCATGTTCATATGCATTGTTAATTGTTGGCTACATGCTAAAGCTTGCTTACTCTTCTATGATACATGTTCATGTTAATGTGTGCTTGATCTTATTGAATGCATTCAATGATGTTGGTTCATACACTGTTGTTGTGCATAATACATGTTGTTATATGTTGTCATTTTGTTGCTGTTGTATATACCCCTGCTTTGCCTGAGATACGTTGTTAAATGTTGTTATGATGTTGCGTAGGATACATTGTTGTTATGAATATAATGCATTGTCGTATGTTATTGTTTTGCTTTTTTCTTGTTTGTTTTTTTGGCTTGTGGTGCTCTTGTATGATCCCTTAGGAGTCTTTGGATTCGATTTAATTAAGTTGTTTAACTTGATTAATTGAATTAAAGGTAGACTTTAGGTTGTTTATCCAAGCATGACAATGCTAGGGTAGATTTTCCCTTTATCCTTAACCATAGGTCCATCTTACATGATTACATTAAGGTAGAAATCCCCTTTCATCCCAACTTTAAGACCACTTTGTATGACAATACTTAGGATGCAGTTTTCCCCTAGATTTTCCTTTCCTTTTTGCATCTCTTAAAACAAAAATCTTTTTTCTTGCATCAAAATCAAAATACTTAATAAATACGATATGAATAGTGCGTCACAGACCTTAAGTACGTGGGAAATGATGAGCGGGAATCTTTCCTTACCTCTTCTAGAATTCTTTGTGTGCGAGCCGTCTCAGATCGTTTGTGCAAAGTATTTGTTCCTATTGTCATAGACTTTAGTATGATACACATCACAAACCGATTCAACTCACTTCTTTAAAACACTTCAACAAATGCAAATCATTTTTCCTTCGGAATTTTCTCTTCAACTTTTTTCAGAAAAGACATGTTATTTCCATTCTACCGTAAATATAAGCTAAAGCGTAAGTCTCCTCACGTGCGAACGGCAAAACCTAACGTTGGAATGTGAACGTTAGCATCATCCATAAAAAATGCTAAACAGAGCAAACTTTTTCAATAAGAACTATTAAGTTCTGATTCCCTCTGAGATGCGTAGACACTGGGTTGCAAATTCGGACGAACTCAATCATAAAAACTTTTTGTTTTTCCCCAATCAATTCATTCATGCATTTCCTCAGCAAGTGGGTTTTAGATATACACACCCTTTGATAATACATTCCTCTTGCGTAATTAACTCCCAAACCCTAAATATCATGTACATTAAATAACTAGCATTACAGTCTCCAATCAATTCTATACTAAATTCATTCATGCATTCCCTCAAAAAGTGAGCTTTAATTCAAATATCATGTACATTGAATAAGAGCATCTTTAATGGGAGCACCTAAATTGGATGAACTAAGTTATTTTACGTGGGTCCAAATTGACATGAAGGATTTAAACAATCTAAAATTAAATTAAAAAGTTTTTACTTCAATGGTGATTGTTTATAAGGAATTCAAACTTGGTATTAAATGGTTAATAAAAATCTATTATTTATGTTAAATAATTAATAAAAATCTATTATTTATGTTAAATAATGAGTTAGAGTATGTTGCTTGTATAGAGCACGTAAACTAGTTTTAGAGTATCTCATATGTCATGTCAGCTCTACTATAATGCAAATTGCTTATTACTAACGTAAGTTATACAAAATATTGATTTAACAACTATGCGTTAAAGTTGCTCTAACTAGCATTAGTGTGCTAAATTCATGTAACTGATTCGTTTACCTATTTTCCATCGTGTATTATATATGAGATAGTACGTATGATGCAAGAACACCAAATTCAAACCCTACACCGTATATGTTTACAAGTATAGACTACACTTTTAATTCACCACCTAGAATTCATTCATATACAATGTGAATAGTACATAATTATTACTTCGGATAAATGCTTGTGTTGAACTAGCAATTTAAATAAATGAAGAAAATATCAATATGACAATAAAAAAAACTCTAAATAAACACAGCCAATTTAATATTTTTACCAAGTCAAACTCCTTTCAACCCCACACAAGTAATCACACAGAATTAACAGACAGAAAAAGATTGAAAAAAACCATCTTAAATTTTGTCTCCAAAGATTAAAAACGATTTTAAACTATTTTTTTCTGCTATTAATTTTAGTCGTTAATTCAACTTTCATTCGAAAGTTTTGGCAGCAATATTACAAACCTTATCAGGAAAAGCTTCATGACAGATTTCATTGAAGACTCTAACGATCACTCCATGATAACACGATTCATTCAGATGAAGAAAACACCGGAGAAGATCTTGAAGATCGTCTTCGGAATCAATCTCATTCTCAAAGATCATTTGAAGCATGGAGTGTTTGAAATCATGATACGGGTCTTCAGAGTCCTTCTCGACCGCGACGGTGTTCATTAACGGACTCTGCTTGGGTGCGGAGTAGTTGTTCATTGTATCGGCTTCGGAGAACGTGGTGGTGGAGAAATCATCGCTGTCGTCGACGCTGCAAACGGCGCCGTTTCGGTCGCCTGAAGTTGTGGTAGAAGAAGCCTTACTACTTGGATTTGTAATCTTGTTGTTAGGGTTGATGGGAACTTTGGGTTTTAGGGTTGGCTCGTGAACTTGAATGGCTTTTGGTTTTACGCATGATCCACAGCTTCCGTTTGTTGTGAAAAATGTTCTCATGATGTTTTTCTTGTTGGAAGACATTATAGTAAAAACAACCTTGTAAATGACACACACAAATATGTTAGATATTTATATATAATAGTAGATGATGATTTTGAATTTTGGTGTTATGAGAATCGAAAGTACAAGAAAGAAAGATGGATATGTTAAGGTAGAAGGTGGTGTTTGGTGGGATTCCTTGTCGAACTAACTATGTGATGATGAGGTGAGGTTTATATATAAATAAATGGTGGTAGAAAACGGATAGGGAGAGATTAAATTAGTGTGAGTTGGATTGGAGATATATAATAAAATTGAGAAGATCACTATTATGGGTCGTTACATTTTGTCACATTCACGCATTTGATACATTTTCAAATATTTCATTAAAATTAAATTATAAAAACTTTTATTTAAGAGTAGTTATCCATTTTTTTTAAGAAGTTCTCTAATTTGTACTTTAACCCTCTTCAGTTTGATAGGTTGATGGGGGAGATTGGTTTGATGGTTAATGGGGTCTTGGCTTGTAATATTTGGTGACGGAGATCCTTCTTTTTTTTAAGAGTTATCTATTCTTTTAGAAGTCTCTATAACTACTTCGAGATGTCACATTTTTCCTTGGATAAAGATAACTGAATTTGAAAGATACTAGAAATGGTTATTTATTAGTGGTCTTCGCTTACCATGTTAAGAGGGTTATTTCGATCTCTTCTTCGGCTCCTCTTCTGGGAAAAAATCAGATTATCCCCCTTATTTGGAAAAGTTGGGCTCCTTCTAAGATATTGGTTTTCTCCTATAAACTTTTGCAGGATAGACTCTCGTTTGGAAAAAACATGTCTAAGAGATGTGTGATTTCTAGTCCCAGTAGAATCTCTTGTCCCTTGTGTGCGGATTTGGTTGAGACAATTTCTCATCTTTTAGTTACTTGTAAGCTAACCTCATGTATGTGGAATATGATCTTTAAATGGTTGGGGGTGGCATGTATCCCTAATGACCCTAGGGTGTTTTTTGAGTCATTTCTTTCTTTATGGTGCGAGATTAAGTATATGAGTTTAATTTACTACGTTTTAGTCTGATTCATTTGAAAAGCTCGTAATGATACAATCTTTAAATAAGTCACAAAATCCAAGAAAAAGATGGAGGCTAAGAGTAATTTGTTTGCCTATAATTGGTTTATAGGTAGATCATGGGTGAAGTTTTGCACCTTGAATGACTTCAGAATCCTATCAACTACCTATACCTATAAAAGATTGAGTGTTTATCTTAGTTCTACGGTATGTTTTGGCCTTTGATTTATTTTTTGGTGCTATTTTGATTGGGTAAGATATATTTTGACATTTTGAGATCTAACATGTTTCCAAGAAATTTTATCTTTAATAACTTTATTTGCAAGAACCCTTAATCAACCTTGCTGGTCGGATTGTGTTTTTATGTTGCTCTTTTTTCCACCTTTGTAATCTTTTTGTGCCTTACCTTTTATTAATATATTATTTTTCATTAAAAAGAAATTCAAATCAATAGAAATTGGGTTTGATTTGTTTGGTCAGACATGAAAAAAATTGAAAAACTTAATTAGCTTAAATTGATTTTCGAACTTATCAAAACATTATTACTCACAACTCTAGATATACTTTTCATAGTCCATGAGTAGCTATTATCAAATGAATTTTTTATTTTCAAACAGTATCTCCAATATTACAAACTAGCTATCATCATAATCCTAATAAATATTTACAGATGTACCAATCTCAATTTAAAAATTCATTTTCAAATATTTAATCCTACATAAAATCTATTAAAAATGGATGGGTCTCTTTCAGAAAAGTTTGGTGAAAAATTAGATCAAATGGGTTTAGTTTTATGACTTGACGTTGGTAGGAGTATAAGGGATTAATCATTTGATTAATCTTTGGGATGAAATTAAATCAATCTTTATTAGAGTTTATTTTTCAATTACTTTAATTAATGAATACTTATTCATACACCAATGATTAAATTAATTCATTACCACGGTAACTCTACAAAAGAACCTTAAACTACAATGCATAAAACTACAACAAGTAACTTTTGTAGGTTGTCCTTACGTTATTTAATTTAAAGTAAACATGTTACGTAATTATATTATGTAAATTACCTTAAATTACAAAAGAAGCTTTTAATAATGTTGGCTTTCAAGGAAATAGGTCTTTTCTTTCATTTTTTCCCGGCACATGAAGTTCTATCTCTTATATTGAGTCTAATTTGGAACATGTTGTTTAATATTTTAAAAATTTGTTTTGTATTGTTTAATCTTTTAATCTGGACTTGTTTAATTTGCCGCTTCATGTATTTAAACAAAAAAAAGTCATGCATTCAAATTGATTCAAGAGTCATTTTTAGGAGTAAATGATTAGGTAATAGTTATAATCTGCCACATTGATGGAGGATTAGAAAAACATTACTATTTTTTGTAGCACTTAAAACAGAGTAGTACAATTATATTTTTTACTCATTAATTCAACTACTTGGCACTAGCTAGCTGAAATAATTCCGTCAGTTAAAAAATATAACTCAACCTACTGAAAGTAAGTAATTGGAGCTTCTAGGTACCTTCACAAATTAATTAAAGACATTTGCTACCACTTTTATCTCAACTATAAGAATAGGGTTTTCTGATGATTGTTCCATGAACACTCTTTAACCATTTTAAACTTTAAAAAAAAATTATAAAAAAATTAGCAATTTTAATTTTTGAAGCACTAAATATGCATAGTCTATTTTAAAATCTTAAAGAGTGCTCATGGAGCACTCATTAAAATTTCTCTTAAGTAAATCACTTTTTTTTTTAATTAAACGGTAAGTAGCATGATTTTGGAATTTAAAACAAATATAAAACGAGAAAAAAGAGATGAGAGATCACAAAAAAAAAATACCCATTTATAGTGGATCAAGTAAGCTACAAGAAGAAGAATAGACATAGTAGGATAGACGACAAGACAACAAAGGTGGAGGATATTACTACGTGATATTTTACAAATGTCCTACAAGACATCAAAATGATAGAGGTAGAAGAAGAATTCGTAAGATTTGGAAAAGTGGTGGATATCTATGATTCAGCTCTAAAGAATAGGTACTTTTAAAATGGTGAAGTACCGATATCGGGTACGCACCCGTACAGGGTACTCGTACCGTACTCATGGTACTTCAATTTTTCTTATCATTCATACCGTACTCATGGTACTTCAATTTTTCTTATCATTCGATTTTGAATGAAATTTGTGGTTTTATCAAATATCAATATAGTATATTTATGGGTTTTAATTGTTTTTTTTATTGTATCATAACATTATTTTTGATTTTTTTTATAGTGGTGTTTTGTTATGAACCTAACCATTTATTTTTCTACTAATACATTTAAAAAAAAAAATTCTTATTTCTTATTAACGTACCGATACCTTGATTTTTTTTTTAAATGTTGTATCTCGTACTAGTACCGGTACTTGCATCGGGTACCATACCCCGTACCTATGCATCATAGCGTATCAGCAAAGAAAAATAACGAGGGGAAAATGTTTGGTTTTGCAAAGTTTGCAAAGATAAGAGATGAAATGAGGCCAGGAAAAGCTTAGAAACATATTGTTTGATTTATACAAAGTATGGGCCAACATATCAAGATTTGAACAGAAAGGAGGAGACATAAGACCAGCTCATAAAATAGTTGCAATCAAAAGGAAACACGTCAAGAGAGAGAAAAGATCAAAGTTTAGGATGTTAGAGAATCAAATCAATCTTATTTAGCCTTTTCATTTAATGTTATTTATTTAAATAAACTCAGTCAATGTTGTTCCTTATTTTATGCTGAATACGTGGCCTGTAAGTTATGTTAGTGGTTTTATGGAGAGATTTTAGCAAATATGTGAAACCATCATATTTATTGTGTATAAGTAGGAAATCTCAACTTAATGAAAGTTACAACTTCTACAATATATTCTCAACCTATATGGTATCAGCCGCTGATCTTGGAAACCTATCCCTTCTCCAAAATCCTATACCATGGCTGCTGAGTTTTCCACAACCATTATTAACCCAAACGACGGTGCTCGCCCGTTCTTCATTGTGTACTTCACCAACGTCATAAAACTTACTATTTCAAACTACATAACCTGGAAGTCGCAAATTCAGGCGACTCTCACAGGTTATGACCTTTTCAAGTTTCTCAACGGCGACCACCCTGCTCCGCCTACAACTCTTACTGCCGACAATGTCACCACCCCCAACCTGGCGTTTACTTCGTGGATGCGTCAGGATAAACTCCTTTATGGCGCTCTGGTCGGCACCCTCGACGCCTCTGTCGCTCCGTTAGTCACTCGAGCCACCACCTCTAAAGAAGCATGGGATATTCTCACCCGCACCTACGACAACCCATCAAAGGGCCACCTTAATCAACTCAAAGCCAAGCTACGCTCGACCACAAAAGGCTCTATGTCAATCACTGAATACATTCAATCGATCACTTCGACTGCAGACCTGCTCGCTTCGCTCGAAAAATCGGTTGACAATGACGACCTTGTCTCCTTTGTCCTCCAAGGTCTCAACGGTAACTATCAGTCCATTGTTGATGCAATCAAGGCCCGAGATACCACCATCCATATTGACGATCTTCACGAAAAACTCCTTGTCAAAGAACTCGAACTCCGCTCTACATCAACCAACTTGGCCGCAGCAGCAACAGCCCTGAACACACAGTCTCGTCCATGCACCAATTGGCAACGCCACCAGCCGCCATCCAACCGCTAACCCTCCACTCATTTCTGCCCTCCTCCCATGGTTCCCCCGCCAGCAGATCGACCATTTCTTGGTAAATGCCAATGGTGTTGTGAAACGGGCCACGTCGTTTCCTACTGTCCTCTCTTCCACTAATAACATTCAAATGCTCGTCCTCTAACAATGCCCACAACTCCTGCACCTCCACCCCACCTCAGGCTCACACTGTCAACACTGCATCCACATCTCAAAACTACATAGTCGACAGCGGAGCAACGTACCACATTGTCAATGACCTC